ACAATAATAGTATCAGCTTCAAATAAGGTCAGTAATGTTTTTCAGTACTTATCCCATGACCAGCATATACCAGTGTTCCCATACTTGACTAATACACAGATCCTTCACTGGTGACATAATTTTACTTAAATATGTTAACCTCAAACTAATTATAAAACCCCATATGCTTATAGCTCTTATGTAAATACAAACTAAAAAACAGAAATCAAATAAAAATACAACAGACAAAATATCCAAAATTGCAATCTTAATTTAATACAGCAGATGATGTTGCTTTGCTGAAACCAAATCCTATCTCAAAACATGAATGTGTTTGTGAGTATTTGTCTCAATAGTGATCTAAGTATGCCTGATGATTACAGTGAGTGTGGGTACTATATGGTCATATAGTTCTCCCAACACTTTTCTCCAATCTAATTATGCCACATCTCTGTTTATGCAGCATGTCCCTGACATCATTTGGTCTCATGTTAGAATAAACAAAACATTTATATGTTAAGTTCCTAGATTTTTCTTCATTCGTCCAATAAAATAAAAGCAGTAATACTTGACACCAATGTGATCACAAACATGGATGCAAACAAAAGAGACATAAAATGACAGAACTTAGTTACAGATTAGTATTAGATTATTACAGTAATGAAAAGATAAATTCTGAATCTCGACAATATATTCCGTAACCACTAAGATTACATCACAGTCTCATTTACAAAACACTGGAATATGCTGCGCCCCACCCTCCACCCCCTCCAGGATGACAAAAGAACAGGAACAGGAACTTGGCTCACAGAAGCTCAGGTAAGGCTGAGTTGCTGGGACCCAGAAGTGGATCTAATTTGTGCATCATTCACTTTAGTGACAGGAAGTTATCCAGACAGAGTAAAAGCATCCAGAGATTGTAATGACAGGAAGGAGGAAATCCAGGCATGCGAAGGTAGCAACATATGGTCTCAAATAGCAGTAGGCAAACTCAGGGAAGTTTTACTTCCCTCTGGAAGAACTGGACAGAGGGAATCACAGCAGGAATTCAGGATGCAGGGGTCTAGCCAATGGTCTGGGAAAGGAAGCAGGACCTTGATTTTAAATTTCAGGGCAATAACATTGTGCTAAAATTTTGTGTGAGACAGAAACAGGTCAGGAACAGTGCTCAGTTGCTGTGCAGAAAAATCTGGCACCCAGATTTGGGCTAAGTATAGTAAAATGAGGAACAGTGAATGAGGTAAGTTGGTATAAACACAGAGCATAGGGATCTTGATTTGAATCACAATGGTAGAAAGGGGAATATTGAAGAGGGAACTGCACCTGTAGAAAGGGCAGATTGAAGTGTAGTGGTGGCAAAAAATGAACTGCAATTTTTTTTAGCATGATGTCAGTTACTTAAAACTTTTATGTTTAAATCATTAATTGTAATTTTTTTTCAGCTGGTAAGTTGGCAATTAAACACAAGTGTTTGATAATTATTCCATAAAATACTTAAATTTTTATGATTAAGAAATGTCGATTCTGCATGTTTATAATAGCAGTTAGATGTTTAACCTAATATAAATTCTCTATGACTTTGAAAGGGAAATCTTTTGTTGTTGTTGTTGTTTGTTGTTTAAATCTTTTATTTTTTAAATTAAGAGTAGCATTGTTCCATAGAAATAATCCATGTCAAAATGATTACTAGTCACAGAAATCAGAATTGGTTGAAATAATGGGAATAGACCAGGATATCAAGGAGATTGTTGCATAATAGGAAATTTGAAGATGGCTCTTATGTACTTTCTTTGCAGCATGACAAAAGGAAAGACATGGGACCAGCACAATGGAAGGGCATAGCAATTTACTACTATTTACTGATTTTAATTTATTGCCACAGAAAGGTATGTTTTCTCCCTGCAATGATGGGGAAGTTCTGATTTCCTATTGGACTTTTCCCTTCATTTTTAGCAAAATTCAAATGAAAAAATTCTCTCCTACTTTAATAGAAGAACTCCATTGTGTCTAGCAGTTGTTTGTTATAATTAGAAACCAGAATGTACATGGTGGTGGCTCATTTTTCTCTTGAATTTTAAGGTTGAAGTAATGAAGCAACAGAGCTATAATGGTAAAGCCATAATGTGATTAGTGGTTTTATTTAAATGACCATTATAGATATGGCTACTCTATTGAAATGAAGGTAAACAAAAGGAATCTGCCCTCTCTTCAGAAATACATTTGTGCAAGTTCCAGGAATAGGTACAGAATCTTGCTGATTACATTCAGGATTAGGTAATGTTGAGACAGATTACCTCCTGTGTAGAAACTCAATGAGGATAAATTTTATGTAAAATGCTACATCCCTTTTAAACTGTCAACATCCTTCATGTATTAGCAACAAATTTATCGTGTGTTTACTACCATTTGTCCATCGACTTAGATGTGACAGTCAAAAGCCACCCCATCATATCATCAAGCTTGTAAGTGCCAATGGTACACTATTCTGACAGTAAAGTGAACCTTTTCAGAGATTACTTCACTAAAGTTTATTTTTTAGGATACACAGGGTATCATCTACAGGAATATGTGTCATATAAATGGTATATATTATATATAAACTTTGCCACTAGAAACACAGTATGGCATTCTCTGTAGATAATATTCTGTTCCAGGGACAACTCATGTAACTGTGGTTCCTGTTTCCTTAACTGGAAACTGAACTTCATGATATAGATACAGATCTGAACATCAGAAGTATTTTGAGAGAAAAATATTGCAAAAAACCTAGCTTAGATTAGTATGACTTGCACACACATGAAAACTACATGATATGATTCTTTCACATATGGGGCAACTTCCATTTCCTTAGGAGATTCCTTGGTTTGGTTCAGTAATAATGAGATTTTTATCTCCTGTTTAATAACTGCCAGGATCCACAATTTCAAAAGACATAATGAAAAGCATACAGGTTGTTAGTTGTTCCCAAAGTGATGTGTAGCGAATGCCTACATCCTCAAAATATAAATTAAAAATAATTTTAATGAAAGGAGCCAAAATGGATTAAAGTTGCACACAATATTTGCTAGAGATCACATAAATTTTTTTTCTAATAGGACTGTGTTCATACTGAATTCTAACAAATTATTAGGTGATCTGTTCCACAGAGTATAGAAGTTTTGTAAATTCTTGCTTTCTCTTTCTCCCAAGACTTCCAGACTCCCCCAAGTGGATATCTGAGAAATTTAAGCCAAGTACCTCTAAATAACTCTTACACTTCATAATGAGCTTTGATCATTCCACATCAACTTTTTTTCCTTTGTTTGAATTGAAGCACGACACATGGAGAATTTCCCTCAGATGAAGCTAGCATTCCCCTCTTATATGCCTGTAAGTTATAAATTACTCACATGACTATTGCCTCTCTTATAAATACTCTTCTCTCTCTCCTCTTCCCTTTTCAAAGGGTGAAATCAAACTGGCAGATTCATTTAAGGACTATACTGTGGTTTGAAGAGCCAATGCGATATAAAATCATATATATGGGTCACCCAGAATGGAATGTCTTGAGATCTTGACCTTCAAATAAACAAGATCACCACAGTTTATATCAAAGTGCAGGATGCTCTGACACAGGAGCATCAGAATGCCTGGAATCTGCTTTAACCAATTAAGCCATTCAAGGCAAGAGGAAAATAAAGCCTTCAGTAAATCCATTGAAGGCACCATCTCCCAGCCTCCCACTGCCTGTATCGATCCTTTTAAGTGCCGACTAATGAGTCGTATATATACCTGATGGGATGCTCTCACCCAACCACCTCCGAGGAGTTAAACTTACACAAAGAATCAACTGGGTGAAAGGGAGGACGAGAGGGCACATTCAGGCCGGTGTCTGCCTTGGCCCCTTAAAAACCAGCGCGATGGTTTCTCTTCAGGGACTGCAGCAGACCCCATCTCCTACTTTCCTAGGAACCCATTTGTTCCTTTGCGGGAGATTTTCCATTCAGGTCGCTGCTAGGGCGAACGCTTTTGTTCGCTACCACTCTATAGTAGGAAAAGAACTGAAGAAAAAATGCAAAGCAAGCTCGTGGCAGCAGCTTCTTTGCGGCAAAGCATCCCTTTTTGTTCAGCTTTGGCAATTTAGAAAGAACCCTAGGTTCTCTGGGAACGTGGGTGAGGGGAACTCAGGGTCGAGGAACACATAAACCAAGAGTCCCTGTTTTTACCTTGTATCCCCTTCCACTCGTATCACCATAACTACCCCTCCCCGTCCCTCCTCCCCAAACTATCAACACAAACACACGATTCTACAAATGGGTGGTGGTGGAGGTGGTAGTGGGTGGGGGGACTTTTTTCCCTAAGATCCAGCCACCATGCTAAAAAAACACATTACAAACAAATAAAATCAAATAAGCCAAACCCACCGAGTAGCAACTATCTCGAGAGAGAAGCAGCTGCTGACACCTGCCTGGATACGCTGCAGTTGGAAGCAGTTGGCTTTTGCTACTGAATTATTAATTTATTTATACCCCCTCCTCCCCTCCCCCTTTCCCGACTGCTAGGCAAGAAATCTCCGTGTCTCTACATCTTCCCCTCCGCCCCCACCTTATAGGAGTCTCCCACTTCTCTGTCGCGGGCC